AAAAAAAAAAAAAAAGAACTATTGAGGAAGGTTGGTTGGTTGGATTGGGACTAACAATTAAAGAGACCAAAGAGGAACATCTATATCTCAGGGAGAGTGGACAATGGAAAAGGGTGGGAATGGGTAAAGAAGTATGTTTCTGGAAACTGATTCTAGTTGTAAACACACTAGTGTGCTCGGTTTTCCTGCCATGTTAAATACTTACTCTTTGTTGGTGAAAGGCTAAGAGGCCAGCAGAGGTTAGAGGGGTGGCAACAGCTTTCCCAAGTCACCCTGGGCATTGTCATTGAGGGCTGTGCTAGTTCTTTGTGTTTGTTTTTTTTGAGTGAAGAAAAAAAAAAAGCTCCAGGTCTTCCCTGGTGGCCCAGGGGTTACAGTTTCAGTGCTGCTACTGAGGCCTCAGTTCAATCCCTAGCAGGAAGCTGACCCACATGGCCCAGCAGAACCTCTCCTGTCTCTGGCTGCTCCCCTCAGCAGTGTATTTCGTAGACCTGCCTGTTCTGCTCCTCACCCTGTCTCTGGTGAATCCTCATACCCCTCTCCCTACCTCGCCCCACACCTCTGGCCTACACCCCAGTTCTTGTATGCATAAATAAATAAAAATGAATCTTAAAAAACCTCCATTAATACCATCTGATACAGCTCCCTGAGGTTTTATGAAGGGAAGCGTAACACCTCTTACCTCCCTCCATCCTTTAGCTACCTCAGTGCTCACATATTTTATATAATGCACTTAAGTCACTTTAAGGAGGGAGAAAAGAGGCTTTATCATATTAGATGAGTAGTGCAGTTTATAAAATACTTTTCAGATGGAAGGATTATTACAAGACTATGACAGCAAAGGAAACCTTGATCAATAAAACACTTAAGAAGCTAAGTGATTTCCCTTTAATCTACCATCTTTTTAAAAATTGTGACTGCTGACATATAACATATTAGTTTCAGGTATACAACATCATGATTTGATATTTGCATATACTGCAAAATGATCACCTCATAAATCACCAAAGTTATGACTATTTTTGCTAGTGATGAGAACTTTCACTTTTTTGCAACCTTCAAATATGCAATACAATATTATTGACTACAATCACCACACTGTACATTATTACATCCCCATGATTTATTTATTTTCTAACTGGAAGTTTATTGCACTTTAATTAGCCATCCATTTAATAGCTGTTTATTGATCATCTTATAGTACTTTTCATTTCACTGGCTCAAAACATTAAAAAATCTTTGTCTACACATCTTACAGTATTTCTTTGTCATCTGTTTCAAATCAAGTGCATTATTTTCCACTTTGTTTACTTTGGCAACTTGAGTCACACTACTTTCTGATACTGAAGTATAACTCAGGCAATTAGTCTGTAATAAAAGATTATAAAAGGAAATCTGTTTTAAGTGCTGGTGGCAGAATAGGCCCCCAAATAACCATATTCTTGTCTCCTGAACCTGTGAACATGTGATATTTTATGGCCAAAAGGAGTTTACAGTTGTGATTTGATTAAGAATGCTCAAATGAAAGATTATCCAAATTTCCAGGTGAACCTAATATAATCATAAGGGTTATTATAAAAGGGAGGCAAAAAGGTTATAGATCTGAAGACACTGCACTGCTGGTGCTGAGATGGAGGAAGGGGCCATAAACCAAGGAATGCAAGTGACCTCCAGACTCTGCAAAAAGATAAGGAAACCAATTCTTTGCAGAGCCTTCAGGACCACAACTTTGCTGACTCATTTTAGACTCCTTATCTCCAAAACTGTAAGATAAGTCTGTATTGTTTTAAGTCACTAAACTTGTTCCAAATGGTTACAGTGGCAGTAGTAAACAAATACTAAGAAAAAACAAAGAACTAAGAGTTCATTTAATCACAATCAAATATCACCTTATTCCATATGCTAGACATTTCAGTGAAAAGCAAAAGACAAAGATATCTATCTACAAAGAGCTTACTGTCTTTAAGAATTTATTTCAGGCTGATGATAGAATTGAAGAGAAAAGCCTCACAGACTGCAGAGTCTTGTAGGTGAGCACTATATTAACAGAGGGGTTTGTTGTAATGGCTGACTCCCTGACCCTCTAAACTCCACTAGGTCACTTCCTGTGCAAGCCAAGTCCAAGATCATCCTGGTCCCAAACAGCAGGATGGAAGGAGCCTAAGCCAAGTGAGCTTAGGCTCAGCACTCTGAGGCTAAGCAAGGCTAAGCACTCTGCCTTCCTCTCTCCGTGCACGGTCAGACACCTAGTAACATGGCAGATCCTGTGCAGACACCGGGGTTCTAAGCGGACACACCAGTCTTCCTGGGAATGGTACTCCTACCCAGTGCTGCAACCAGACGCTGGTTTCCATCTCTTCACAGTGCCCACTGGAAGAACCCTCTACTACCAAATTCCACCTACATACTAGATGATCCATCTGTTTTCTTGTGAAATAATAAGCCACACATACCACCCAAAGTTGCTCACATAGAGCTCCTAAAACACTGCAACTCCTCAGATTCCTTCCGAAATTGGAGGTTGGTCTCCCCACAGGGGTCAGGTAGGCTTTGCTCAATGTGCACAGTGTAGGCCTGTTGTCATCTTGTTGTTTTAAAGAACTTTTCCTGAGTTCTACAAGCCACTCTAGTAAATTAACTGAATCCAAGGGGGAATCCTGTGAACCTTGAATTTATAGCCAGAAACACAGATAATACCCTGGATTTTTTTTTTAAAAAAAGATTTATTTATTTATGCATACAGAACTGGGGTACAGGCCAGAGGTGTGGGGGGTGAAAGACTCACCAGAGACAGTGGGGAGCATAACAGGCCGATGTACTGAAATACACTGCT